GGATGAATGTAGACACTGGGTCCATAAGGAGGAGATGCATGGTCGTGAAATCCACATCTCTGAGATAACAATGACCCCATGGTCAGCATCCACAGCGTCGCTGACTTTCAGAAATGGTTTAATGTGCCTCTTAGTTCATCAGTAACAGAGGATGGAGAGGCCAAAATCTTCAGACTACAAGGTGTGCTCCCTGGAACCAACAAATACAATTGAGACTGGAGATGAAGATTCTGTCTGCAGCCCTTCTCAGGACCATCTGAACCTCCAGTCTGACCTACAGTTTTGTGATTTTTAGATATTATTGAAGATTTTGCAACAGTTGGAGGAGACTGTTTTATAGCTACAGTAGTCTGATTGTGTGCCATTGGTGGAGGGACAGACACATGGATCAATAGAAGAGAACATGTGCAACCTTGGATAAGCCTAGTGTTTATTCTATATGACACGTCATAAAGAGTAATGTATTTCAATAGAGTAAGGACTTACTAAAAACTGAACTAAAATAAAAATGTATTAAAAGTAATAGCAATCTAGAGATTCAATACTACTTTATATATATATATATATATATAATATTATAAAAAAGTCAAATTAAATATATAAAAAATGTTTATTCCAGAAAAAGGCAATCTGAAAAATGGGAACAAATGACAATGTGCATGGCATCAAGGAAGTTTCAAGAATGGCAAATAGACACAGGTAAACGGGATTAACATCTTATTCAGGAGGATGCGAACAGGAGGACCTGACAAAATGCCTCTACCCACCCAGTAGAACCAACCCTATGAGGCTTTGCTGAGAATTGGGCAGAAATGAAACTCTTTATACCACTGTTTCTGCTGTAAGATAATGCAGAACCATATCCAATAGCACCAAAAAGTATCTTATGTATATGTGCAGGATCTGTATGTGGAAAAGAAAAACATATATTGATGAAGTGCATCAGAGAAAACCTATATCAACGGAAAGCTGTACCGCACCCATAGACCGGAAGGCTCAGGATCGTCAGTTCTTCCCAATCTGATCTGTAGGTTCACTGCAATCCAAATGACGACGCAGTAACTATTTTTTAGGTGTCAACAAGATTATTACAAATTTTATGGAAATGTAAAGGAACTAGAAACGTCAGAACATTTTTTAAGACTCTGATATGAGGAGGAGTCATATAATCTGATGTGAAGACTCACTAAAAATCCACAGTAACCAAGATGATATGGAAATGGTGAAAGTAAGACTCAGAAAGTAAAGGAACAAAATACAGAGACTAGAAATAGAACCATAAATGAATACAACTTATTCTTGACAGAATTGAGAAGGAAATTTGACGGAAGGGGTACATTCTCTTCAACAAATGGGTTTGTAACAGTTGGCCATTCATATGCAAAGTTAATAAACAAAACAGGAACTTCAGGGTACATCGGAAAACTTACACAAAACTTAGCTCTCTAAGATACTTTAACCTAGATGTAAATTATAAAACAGCTAAACCATCAGAAGAAAATATCGGATATATCCTGTGACGGTAGGTTTGCTCATGAGTCTTAGATAAAACATTAAAATCAGAATCCAGGAAACGACATATTGATATAGTAGACTCAGTTAAAATTAAAAACTTCTGTTTATCCAAGATATCATAAAGAAAATGAAAACACAAAGATGTCCTGGGATCATCAAATCGTATTTCTGATAAACGATCCAGAATGTATAAAGAACTTTACATCATGTGCGGGGAGCCCAGGAGCCTCTGGCCACAGGCCCACCCCAGGGGCAGGTGCAGAGGGGCTGGGGAGGGAGAAGATTACTGTCAAGGTCACAGTGTGTTTCATTCTGAGCAAACTTATGCTGGGGTGCGTCTTCCCTTTCCTGCCTCTGAGCCCCAATTTCACATATAACACCAGATACTAAGAATATGGGACAATTACTACTGTGCCATCATCATTTCAATGTTAGGAAGATGCTCAGTTTACAATAGTCCTTGTTTTTATTTTTCTGTCTTCTCCATTTAGAAGTGTGATTCTTTCTGATGAAACTAGTGAGGGATCCTTGACATACGTTGTGGGTCATCTTAAGGGAAGTGTGTGCACAGAGCATTAGACAAAGTTACACAGCCTCCAACTTCTAGATGAGGCCTCTCCCAGCTGCCTATGTGGAAAATGTAGCTACTCAGATAAAATTACGGTCTCAGTACTCAATACACAGGGATCCCCCATGTGCAAATTTGTGTTCAAGCTCTAGGGTAAAATCCCCTCTTTAGCTGTGAGAGCTCACAGCTCTCTCCTCAGACAGGGCTGAGGTCTCTGGGGAAGCAGAGCTGTGGTGTAGAAGAAGATGAGACTGTTGGGTCTTCTCCTTTGCCTGGTGATAGGTCCCCAAGGTGAGTGTCTCAGATGTCAGACCTGGGTCTATGGGGGTGGTTGTGACTCCACGTGACTGACAGGGACTGATTCTCCTTGTCTCCAGGTGTCCTGTCCCAGGTGCAGCTACAGGAGTCAGGCCCAGGACTGGTGAAGCCCTCACAGACTCTCTCACTCACCTGCGCTGTCTCTGGATCCTCCATCACAACCTGCTATCACTACTGGATCTGGGTCCGCCAGCCCCCAGGAAAGAGTCTGGAGTACATGGGGCACATATATTCTAATGGGAACACAAATTACAAACCTTCCCTCACGACCTGGATATCCATCTCCATAGGCACGTCCAAGAACCAGTTTTCTCTGCAGCTGAATTTGGTGACTGCTGAGGACACAGTCTTGTATTACTGTGCAAGACACAGAGATGGGAAGTCAGTGTCAGCCCACACACAAACCTCCCTGCAGGAGGACCCAAGGGACTTAGCTGCAGGGGGCACTCATGACCACCAGGGGCACTCAGGATCAGCTGGGGGCGCTCGAGGGTCCCACAAAGCACAGAGACCAGACCCAAAGGCCGGTACAGAGAGGGGTGGAAAAGGGGCTTATTGTGGCATCAGGGATTTCCTCTTGAGGACCTCAGTTGGATATATGTCTCCTATTTGTTGTTTCTCTGAAGAAACATGATTAATATACTCATCATATAGCAATTCGTTAAATGTCTCTAGTTTAATCTTCTTTCTAGATATATGACATCTGGCCATCTCTGACCCGGGGGAGCTAATGGACAGGTCCTGTTTCTCCCTGCAGGCACCTGTCTTTCCGGATTTCTTCTTTATATTTATCCTGTGTCTTCAATTCTTTGATGTGTTGAAGATCATTTGTTATGTTTCAGATTTCCCATCTTTCTTGTTTTTATCGTATTTGTTTTAAGAATAAGAACAACTTTCTGAATTAGTGTTTTTGTGTTCTTCGGACAAATAATCAGCCGTGGAATAGTGGAATGGATCATGTGGTAGTTTTATTTTTAATTTTTTGAGGAATCTCATTCTGTTTCCATAGTGGCTGCACCAAGTTACATTCATACCAAAATGGGAACAGCAATACAGAAAGATATATGCATCCTTATGTTCATTGTAGCATTATTCACAGTAGCCAAGATATGGAAACAATCTAAGTGCCCATCAATGGATGAATGGAAAAAGAAGATGTGGTATATATACATACAATGAAATAGTACTAAGCTATAAAAAAAATGAAATCTTGCCATTTGTGACAACATGAATGGATCTTGAGGGAATTTTGCTAAGGGAAATAAGTCAGAAGGACAAAGACAAGTGCTGTATGATTTCCCAAAATTGTAATCTAAAAAAAACAAATGAAGAAACAAAACAAAATAAAAACAAACTCATAGACACAGAGACACAGAGTGGTTACCAGAGGGGAAGAGGTTGGGGGGAGTGAAGGTGTCAATTGTAGGGTGATAGATGGGAAGTAGACTTTTGGGCATGATCACTTTGTAGTTTACACAGATGTTAAATTATAATGTTCTACACCTGAAACTTATATAATAAAATAAAGAATAAAATCAACTTTTCTCAGCTCTCTACATCTTCAAGTTGAGTAGCAATTTCTTTATATAGCCTGTCACTGAGAACAATCCAAATACCACTCAAAAGGGAAATAGAGAATCGATTTGAGGTGAATCCATACATTGGAGCAATGGTCAGAATTAAAATCAACTCCTGCCTTATTCACCCAACGTGGCTGCATTGCGTGGGGTCCGGATGTTAGGAGGGACAGAGTGGGAGGGAGGAACAACAGAGTAACAATAGGAAATGTTTCAGTGTGAACAATTTGTCCACTGTTTGGTTGTAGTGATGGTTGCACAGGTGTTTGCATACGTCAATAATTTTAAAATATACCTAGTAAATATGTGCAGTTCATTATATGCTTGGCATACATGACTACATTTCTTACAAATAAACAAATGTATAAACTGGTACACGGGGAGAGTTAGAGCCACAGATATGCCACAGAAAATGTCAGACTCCGCTGCACCTGTGTGAACTCTGCTCTCTAGACAGCCTCTAGGTAACACCACAATGCTGCCAGGTCACACGTGTTCTCCTTACAGAAAGGGGGTCTTCAAACCTCACTGGGCATGTCCAGCTCTGCACCAGACTGGTTCAGGGGGGCAGTCAGTTCAGTGAGGCGCACAGTCCCAGAAACGCTTCAGATGTGTGCTCGTCAACACACTGCACAGCCCACTTGTGGTCCTCTGTGTAGATTTGCATCGGCACAATAGAATTAAAATCGACACAGCACATGATTTGCGTACATATGTAAACATAAAACAATATAACCAATAGTGTGTTCATCATGTTACAATCACATACTAAGCTCACATTTTCCTGAACGCTGTCATGCCACCAAACTCCCCCAGGACTCTCTCATCTTCTCTGGGGCACTGTGCTCGCTGAGACGTCCAACCCCAGGGCCTGCTATACAGTCAGAGAACATGGATATAGGGCCCTCCCTCTGCTGATGAAAACCAGCCCAGCCCCAACCCTGCAGCTCTGGAGAGAAGACCAGCCCCGGGATTCCCAGGTGTTCCCATTAGGTGATCAGGACTGAACACAGACCACTCACCATGGAGTTTGGGCTGAGCTGGGTTTTCCTTGTTGCTATTTTAAGAGGTAATTTATGAAGAACAAGAGACATGGAGTATGTGAGAGGATGTGAGTGAGAGAATCAGTGGATGTGAGACGGTTTCCTGACCAGGATGTCTTTGTGTTTGCAGGTGTCCAGTGTGAGGTGCAGCTGGTGGAGTCTGGGGGAGGCTTGGTGAAGCCTGGGGGGTCTCTGAGACTCTCCTGTGTAGCCTCTGGATTCACCTTCAGTAACTACAATATGAGCTGGGTCTGCCAGGCTCCAGGGAAGGGTCTCATACATTAGATATAATGGTGGTACAATAAACTATACAGACTCCGTGAAAGGGCAATTCACCATCTCCGGAGACAACTCCAAGAACACGCTGGATCTGAAAATGAACAGCCTGAGAACCGAGGCCACGGCCGTCTACTACTGTGGTACTGACACAGCGAGGGGAAGTCAGTGGGAGCCCAGACACAAACCTCCCTGCAGGAGGGGCTCAGGACCACCAGGGGGCGCTCAGGACGTGTACAGAGTCCAGCCACAGGAGCAGTTGCTGAAGACGGTGGGGAAGGGGCTTCCTGTGCCATCAGTAATTTCCCCTCCTAGCTCTCAGTTGTCCCCAGGGACAGTTTGTTTTTTGTTCTGTTGCCTCTGATTTCTCATAATCTCAGTGCAGCCATCAAATGAGGAGGTAACATTGTCTGTTTGCAGACGAGATCACCAGTGAGTAGGGACATTTCATTCACCAAGTTCCTGTAAGTCCTGCTTTTCTTTCTCAGCAATGGAACAAACTCAGGGCTCTTGTCTTCCCTGTGATAGGGAAACATTTCCAACAACCAGCGGTACCACCACAGTCTGTGCACCTGTGTGCTGAGCTCAGGCTCTCTACCCACACAGAACACGCTGTACGTACACGGGCGCTTCCTTCAGACAGGCACACATGACCCCGTGGGGTTATGATCAGCAGCCCCCAGGACCCCTATCCCACAGGGTCACTGTCTCTCCTACATCACTTTAACCTCTTGCTCCTCGTTTACTCCGGTGGATGTGGAAACCCACCCCAACCTCACCCTCTGCCTTCTACAGTCTAGATTCTCACTGAATCTGTGCTAGACCCCGAGATCCAAGAGGCTGGAGCCCTGCTCAGTCTTCCCAGCTCTACCCATAGTCCCAGGCCCAGAGGGAGGTTCAATAAAGATTTGGGCATTAATGTGCACCCACTTCACCTCCTAACATCCAACTAATGTCTCTGTCCATTCGTGGACACTCCAGAGCCCGTTACACTCAGGTGGCCTGAATCTTGCTTGATTGCCATGCTGAGCTCCCATGTCATGCACAGCTATGATTCAAGGTCACAGAGGCACTATTGCAGGATGAGCCTGCGTTAGGTGGGGACAAAGCCAGCTGCTGACCCCTAGGCACCTCTAACAGCTTATGACAGAGAATGTGCAGGTGGACACACCAGCTGCAGAGCACTGTGTTGGACCCCACTTGAGTCGACATGGTGAGAAAGAGGTCAGGGAATGGAGTGGGTGTGCTGGTCACCTCTCACATCTCAGTGACCAGCCCAGATATATTGTCAGACATTTGTGAGCTAAAATTATGGAAAAGACATGAAATAGGACAGAGAGAGAGATCTGCAGTTGGGAATATATTTATGGAAAAAATAAATATAATAAAGGCAAACGAGTTAAGTGCACTACTTAACAAGGTAGATAAAGAATAGATAATAATATAATATTACTCTTAGTACAAATATTTTAAAAATATCATGTTCCGACTTTATACTCACATTCTCTAAAAGTATCAGTCAATTTGATGGTACACTTAAGGAGCTAACCACAAAAACATGCACACGTAGAATCAACCAGCTGTACTCCAACTTTTGCAATTACAAAGCACATTGTAAATGCTGCAGGGTGCTCTTGTTGTCTGTCCTCATGTTTCTCTTCTCTTCTAACGCAAAGAGCTGACCTTAAATGGGAGCTCTTCCCCCCAAAGTCCTCTGTGGATGGAAAGAAACCTTGGTAATGTGCCAGCTTCATGCAGCCTGTGTGCCTAAGAGCGACCACTAAGGGATTCATCACTTCCGCATTCCCTAACCAGGACACCTGCTGGGATGAGGCCCAACATGGTCTTAGCAGAAAAAAAAAGACACTTTCTTGTTGCAGAATTAGGCTAAGGATTTGAGAAGCTTTTAATGCCATTTGACTGAAGAGAATTCAAAAACAGGAATTGTGCATTAATTAAAAGTGTAATGTTCTGCTCTCAGTCATTTAATTCTTGAAATTTAGGAGCCAACCCCTCATTTATGTTACACTGGGCCCTGACATTGCATAGTCAGTTCTGTGGTGGCTTCATCTTTAGACCCATGGAAAGGTTCTTTGATGTAATGCCTTCCATATTTGGGGATATATGCATTAAGAGGACTAGAAACAGGGTGGGTCTGATGAGAACGTTTGAGATTTTTAGTTTAGGTAACCCCACGTGTTTGGATTTCTCTCTGGGTTGCATAGAATAAGGAGCATTTTGAGCTTCCCACGGAAGTATCTGCCTCTTTTATTCTGAAGAAGATTTTGATATCCACTACTCGTGGGGATGGTCCAGGATCCCTACTCCAAGGTGAACAGGATTAATTCACTATATTGTGTGGACATTTCACCTATTTGAACTATTCATTTTTTATTGAGGTCACGGTAGTTTACAACACTGTGAAATTTCCGTTGTACATTATTATTTGTCAGTCACAATACGTGTGTGCCCCTTCACTCTTTGTGCCCACCTCTCAACCCCTCCCCCTGGTAACCACTAATCTCTTCTCTCTGTCTGTGTGTTAGTTTATATTCTATACATGAATGAAATCATATGGTGTTTGTCTTTCTCTGTCTGGCTTATTTTGCATAACATAATACCCTCAGGGTCCATCCATGTTGGGAATGGGATGATTTGTCTTTTTTATGACTGAGTAGTATTCCACTGTGTCTGTGTGTGTGTGTGTGTGTGTGTGTGTGTGTGTGTGTATATATGTATATATATATACCACATCTTCTTTATCCAATCATCAGTTGATGGGCAATTGGGCTGTTTACCCTTCTCGGCTATAATCAATAATGCTGCAATGAACATGGGGGTGCATAAGTCTCTTAGAATTGTTGATTTCAAGTTTTTTGCATAAATGCCCAGTAGTGGGATAGCTGGGTTGTATGATATTTCTATTTTAAATTTTTTGAGAAATATCCACACTGTTTTCTGTAGAGCCTGCACCAGTTTGCATTCCCACCAGCAGTGCATGAGGGTTCCCTTTTCTCCACAACCTCTCCAACATTTGTTACTTTTTATCTTGGTGATTATAGCCATTCCAATGGGTGTAAGGTGATATCTTAGCGTAGTTTTGATTTCCATTTCCCTGAGTTTACCTAAGTGATCAATTGAAAGCAGATCATGTGGAATGTCCAGCAGAATTCACAGACTAGATCCAGTAATTTATAGATGCCGTCACAGAGCACACGGGGATACAGCCCTCCAAAATCAAAGCCTGAAGCCTGATCCAATAACAGATGGTAGCTGAGCCCAGAGTCTAGAGAGGAATCTTGGTGCTTGTGTCCTGGTTGCTCAGGAGTTCTGAACGAGGAGCTCCCTGAGGCACGACTGTGTTTTCTAGGCATCCCCATGATTTGTGCCAGAGGATAAAGAATGTAATCATTTCCCCTGTATAAATTGCAGGCTGGTAATGTGTGAGGTGTTGCTGGTGGGAAAGCAAAGAGGTCCCCCACTTTGTGAAATTCTGCCCCTTTCTAACGAGATCTAACACACAAATTCCATGCGTCCCAATGGTTCTAATTCTTGTTACATATCTGGGGAGATAAGAACTTATGTTCAGTGTATACAGTTAACAATACTGCACTGTATAGTTAAATTTTCCTTAAGAGGATAGGTTTTATGTTAAATGTTCTTTTCACAAAACGAGAGAGGGAGGAAACTTTTGGATGTGTTGATTACATTGATGTTATTGGTTGTGGTGATGGTTCCATGGGTTCCATACTTATCTCGAAACTCATGAAAGTGTACACATTAAATATGTACAATTATTGGCAAGACAATCATATCTCAAGAAAAAAAACCTTAACAATTATTTTTACTCCAAAACCTGTATGCAGGTATTTACAGGCGCCTTAGATGATACATGCAAATAATGACACATGCAAGAGCATGGATGAACCTCACGCTAATTACCCTCAGCGCAGAATCCAGCTCCAGAGTCTACACACTGTGTGTCTCCATCCATTCACCATGGGATCTGCGAAACTAAAGGGACACACAGATGATCAGTGGTTGCCAGGAGCTGTGGAATTGAAAAAGGATTGACTAGAAGAGGAAATAATGTATTTATTTGGGGTGATGGAAGTATCCTATAACGTGATTTTGTTCTTGGTGACAGGGCTGCTTTTGCTTACAGTAATTATGTTATACTTCCATAAAAGTCTAATAACCTTGATTAATATTAAGAAAATTATATTGAAAAACTGTTTCATCTCATGATTGTATTCAGCTCAGCCTTAACTTGGTGATTTTTCAATGATGACGGATAGCATATTTTCTATGAATAGATACATATTCAGTTCAGTTAATGAAAATGACAATTTCCAATGTAGGACTATAGGGTTGAGTGCCTGAGATGGATTCGATGTTACAATCATGAAGAGAATGAAATCAAGTTTATTGATGGATAGATTTTGGGAAGTTTTATCTATGTAGGTTCTTCAGCCTTTATAAATTATCAGCAATACTGTTGACCAAAGGACAGCAGACTCGTTGGTAAATCCTCAAGAAATGACAGGGATTTTCCTGAAGGAGGACCACAGATGATGGCCACAAGGATGCTCCTGGTAGGCAAAAGGGTCGCCTTCTGCAATGCAAAATGTTTGCATTCACAGCCAATGATGATGAGTGAAAGAATACAGACAAATAAAATTCTCATAATATGATTAATTTATTTTAGTAAATTTTAGTAAATGAAAACTAGTCTAAAGTAACAGAAAGACCATCAATAAGTTGGATTAAGGGAATATGTGGGACTTAAACCTCCTTAAAACTATTACAAATAAACTAATGGATAATTAGGAGGGAAAGAGACATAGAGACATTGATAATGATTCATGATATTTTCCTCACACTCAGCATGAGGGCAGTCAAGAGAGGGTTCCCACTCAATAGATTCCTCCACTTTTCAGGGGGATTTTGGGAAGGGGCTGTGAGGATGGTTGCTGGTATGACTGCACAATTCTCTCCACACCACTTCAACTCTATTTTATTCTCTGTTGTGGGTGTCAGGTAAAAGGATGGTTCCTAAGCAAGAAACTGTAATAGAATTTTAAACCTTCATGTCAGAAATCCTAAGCTCCTCATGGGAGGTATTGCACCTTCACACCAGAGAATGCAGCTCCACTGCTCAGTCATCAAAATAGCCCACTTGTTCTGGTTACAGACCTAGAAACCCTGGAATGAAGAGGAGGCCAGGTCCTTTGAGGAAGGATGCCACTACACTACTAGAAAGGTGTACTAGTATTCTTTCTTCCAGTCTTCCTTAAAGGGTGACTGTGCATGAAGAACAGGAAATATTCAGACTTTCAAGGATTACTAATCATTGTCTCTGAACTGACACTATTTTCAGATGACCTGAAATGTCACTGTGGTTCAGCAGTCAAAATAGGGGTTTATGAAGATCAGGGGCTCAATGGAGTTTCAGCTTAGGATCCAGAGAGTCCTTGGACCCATCCTGTGCTTCCTTCCCCCATTATGGATTGTGTAATTGGTCTTCAAAAGATCTTCATGAGATATAATCCAAAACTCACAGAATGCCCACATTGTTTCTCCTACCTGTGGAGTGAGGACTATCATGGTAGAAAAGACCAACTGGAAGTAAATAAAACTGACCCTACTCAGGAAACCAAAAGAGGGCATTCAGAGACTCGTGCCACAATCAAGGACTTTAAAGATCCTTCGTGATTCCACCCATATCCTCATTCAACTCACCTGTTTGGCCTGTGCCTGAGACGGGGATATTTGAGGATGACAGTGGGTTGTTGTAAGCTTAACTGGGTGGTGACTCCAAATGCAGCTGCTGTATCAGATATGGCTTCATTTTTGAGAACGTTAACAGAACCCTGGTAGCTGGTGTTACAGTGATTGACCTGGAAAATGCTTTTTCCTTCACTCTCGTTAATGGAGCCATAGATACAAGAGTAGAGGGAAGATGATCCAGATCAAGGACAGAGTGTGAGGAAGAAATGGTGGGACGTGGGGCGTATGGTAGAAGGAGACCACCCGTGGGCCCACCTGATGCTTTCACCATATGACATCCTCCCCAACCACAGAGGCCCAGGATGGAGGGAGCGCAAAGGGCTCTGAAACTCAAGTTATGGAATATAACAATGTAGAGAGCTCTCAGGGGTTATGAGATCCACATCCCAGGAGAGATGATAGAGAAAGAACACAGGAAGGACCAGGGACAGCCTGACCTCAGTGTCTCCCCACTTATAAGGACAGGGCTCCCAACATGAAAATTTCTGTTCAAGTTCAAGGGTAAAATCCACTCTTGGGATGTGAGAGCTCACATCTCTCTCGTCACACAGGGCTGAGGTCTCTGGGGAAGGCAGAGCTGTGGTCTAGAAGAAGATGAGACTGTTGGGTCTTCTCCTTTGCCTGGTGCTGGCTCCCCAAGGTGAGTGTCTCAGATGTCAGACCTGAGTCTATGGGGATGGCTGTGACTGCACGTGACTGACAGGGACTGATTCTCCTTGTCCCCAGGTGTCCTGTCCCAGGTGCAGCTGCAGGAGTGGGGCCCAGGACTGGTGAAGCCCTCGAAGACCCTCTCCCTCACCTACACTGTCTCTGGATTCTCCATCACAAGCAGCAGTGATGCTTGGAGCTGGATCCGGCAGCCCCCAGGGAAAGGGCTGGACTGGATTGGGTGCATATATTCTACTGGTAGCACCTACTACAACCCATCCCTCAAGAGCCGCACTTCCATCTCCAGAGATGCGTTCAAGAACCAGTTCTCCCTGCAGCTGAGCTCCGCTACCACCGAGGACACAGCCGTGTATTACTGTGCAGGAGACACAGTGAGGGGAAGTCAGTGTGAGCCCAGACGCAAACCTCCCTGCAGGAGACAGGAGGAGCTGGGCTGCAGAGGGCTCTCAGGACCAGCAGGGGGCGCTCAGGACTCAGTGAGCACACAGATCAGGTGCAGGAATCAGATGTGAAGGGGATTCTGCTTGGAGTCAGGCATTTCCTCTCCCAGGTCTCAGTTACCCCCAGGGATGATGCGTGTTTTGTTCTTCCTCTAATTTCTCATTCTATCACTGCTGTCAACAAACGAGGAAGTAACAGTGCAGATGAGACATCACCAGGGACTGGGGACCTCTCCTCCACCAACTTCCTGTTAATCCTGTTTTTCTTCTTGAGAGTGGAACACCCTCAGGGCTCTTCTCTTCCCTGTGATTGGGCAGCATTTCCCACAACCAGTGACACCAGCACAGTCCATGCACCTGTGTGCTGAGCTCCACTCTCCACCCCCACAGCACACACTGTCTCCACATGGGCACTTCCTTCTGAGGGGCACCCATTGAACCCATGGGGTTATGATCAGGCCCCCCAAGGCCTCGACCCCACTGGGTCTCTGTCTCTCCCACAATACTTTAACTTTTTGCTCCTCATTCACTCGAGTGGATGTGGAAACCCAGCCCAACCTCACCCTCAGCCTTCTACTGTCTAGATTCTCACTGAGTCTGTCCTAGGCCCTGAGCTCCATGGGCTGGAGCCCTGCTCAATCTTCCCAGCTCTTCCCACAGCACCGGGCTCAGAAGGGAGGTTCAATAGAGATCTGGGCATTAACGTGCCCCATTCATCTCCTAACATCTGTCTAATGACTCTGTCCGTTTGTGGACGCCCAGTGCAGGCTGCACTTGGGTGGCGTGAGGCTGGCCTCATCTGCCTTTCTGAGTCTGTGTGTCACATACCATGATTCAAGGTCACACAGCCACCACTGCAAGACAGGCCAGTGTCGGGGCAGGCACATCGTCTGCTCGTGCACCTTATGACAGTTCTAATTCTAATTTCTCATATTCTCAGTGCAACCAACAAATGAGGAAGTGACATTGTCTGTTGCAGACGACATATCACCATTGACTAGGGACCTTTCCTTCAACTTTTATAGGTTCTTTTTTTTTTTTTTGACAAAGACAACAAATTGAGGATTCTTATTATCCCTGAGAAACAACAGCACAGTCCAGGCACACTGTGTGCTGAGTTCATCTTCTCTGCCCTCAGAGGGGCACACACTGACTCCACATGTCATGAGCATCCCCCAGGACATCTGCCCCATGGGGTTCTTTGTTCTCCCTGCTACAGTTTATGTTTTCACTCTATCCACTTGGGTGGACATTGATGGTTAGCTATTGCCCCCTTCTGTAGCTGGCCCTCAGTCTCCTGGATGGAAAAGCAGCCCCCCTAAGGAGGGTGCACCTCTCAGATTTCCCCATGAAACAGGAAGGCAGGAAGATAAGCAAAGAGAAGAAAACCCATCACAGACCATGCTGGGCCATGTTCTGGGGGTCTCTGAAAGCAGCCCTGGGGCCCAGTCTCTCAGCTTCCACACAGAGAATACATGTGGATAGTGAGAACCAGCCTGACGGAGTCCTGATCCCTGCCCACCCTCTGCTGTCGATCCAGTATCTCACAGAAACCCACCCCACCAACGCGCTCTGTTTTCTATTTCTAAATTCTCACAGAATCTGTCCTAGAGCCTCAGTCCATCAGGCTGGAGCCCGAATCACTCTTCCCAGATTCCCCACCCAGGGCCAGACACAGAATGAGGCTCAGTAACAGAGCTCAACAATGATGGCAGAGACCTGAAATGGTACTGAAAGGGGAATCTAGAGCTTAAAATGTTTCTGAAAAAAAATGAAATTTCAAAAACAAATGTGATGATACAAAAGCATGACCCACGAAAGAAACGTTGAGTTCGACTTAAAGTTTTTGCTCTGGGAAAGACGCTGTGCAGAGCATGTTCAGATACGCCACAGTCTGAGCTAAAATTTCCTCTGTGGGTAGTTCCCCTCTTCCTCTCTCAGTTCCTATTTGTTGCCAGTAGAGCCTTAGACAGATTTTGGTGGCTTTCTCCGTGAAGATTAATCACTTAGCACCTAGTGGTGATTGGTGAGGTGGGTCTGGATGCATCCCTTCAGTAGGTACTTTTACTCTCTCTCAGACAGAACAATATCGGGGGAGGAGCTCTGTGAGATGTTTCTCCAATTCTGGAGGACAAGGCTTTAAAGGGAATAGTTATCTCCCTAATTATGTGGCCCCTGAGAATATCACACCATAGTACCTTCACCACACTCCACTTCAAGGAACCCATTAAGTATTTCTCATTTATTCTTGCACTAGTTTATAAGCCATCTGGAGGTCTCTGCCCCAGATAAGCTTTTATTCCTGTACTGTTTCTCCTGGAAACGACTTGTTGCTCTCCAGATTTCAGGTTTGTTGTTTGCACTATAAATTCAATTCTCGGATGTATTGAAGAAAGGTCACTGATTTGCAATTTATTCAGTATAGTTGATGTTGTTGTAAGAAGAGGAACACTTTCCTCAGCTGTGTACATCCCAGAGCTGATCAGCAGTTATATTTGTCATACCAGAATCTGGAAACAATCCAAATATCAATCATAAGCTCAGTGGACAAACACATTGTGACACAATCATTCACTGGAATAGTTCCCATTGTCACAATCTATTAATGCTTGACACACACAACAAAATGGTCACATTCACAAGCAATTATGTTGAGTGAAAAAATACAGGCAAGTAAAATTCACACTATGTGATCCATTTATATACATTTTAGTAATGAAAACTAATCTAAAGTAGCATATAGATCAGGACTTGGCTGTCTACAAGTTGGTTTAAGGGAGGAAGTGGGAGGGAGGAGTTAGAGATGAATGTGGAGAGACTTTTAATGGTGATGGATTCCTTATGACCTTGATTATGGTGATGGTTGCACAGGTGTGCACATACGTTAATACTCTTCAAATTGTACACTTGACTTATGTGTAGGTTATCATATGTCAATTATTCATCCTTAAAACAATTACATATAAGCAAACGGATAATTATTAGGGAAAGAGGGATGGATTCATTGATAATAACACCAGATTTTTAGACTCCTGAAAATACACGTGCATGAACACTGGCTCTCTGGACTTTATTTCAGTAAACATGATAATGCAGCAAAATCGCACCATATTCTCTTCACAGGAAACGGACTAGGCATTTGAAGCTCTGTCATGCAGCTGGTTCAGGGGAACAGTTGTATCCAGTGAAGGGCACAGGCCCAGATACTGGGCTCAGTCTTACTTGCTCCCTTTGTAGTTTTCATATGTGAAATGGAGGGAAAATTGAGAGCTACATCACATTCTTTGTGTGTATGTGTAAAAATGAATAAGATGATGGCTGCTAAGTGATTATCACAGAACAATCTCGTAATAAAATATCATATTTTCCCAAATGTTCTCATTGACACCAAATTTCCCCAGATGCCTCACTTCTTCCCTCAGATACTGTACTCTGCAAGACATCCAACCACAGAGCTTGACATATAGTCTCAGGACACGCAAATAGGACCCTCCCTCTGCTGATGAAAACCAGCCCAGCCCTGATCCTGCAGCTCTGGAGAGGCGCCCCAGCCCCGGGATTCCCAAGTGTTCCCATTTGGTGATCAGGACTGAACACAGACCACACACCATGGAGTTTGCGCTGAGCTGGGTTTTCCTTTTTGCTATTTTAAGAGGTAATTTATGGAGAACAAGAGACATTGAGCATGTGAGAGGATATGAGTGGGAGAATCAGTGGATGTGTGAGAGTTTCCTGACCAGGATGTCTTTGTGTTTGCAGGTGTCCAGTGTGAGGTTCAGCTGGTGGAGTCTGGGGGAGGCTTGGTGCAGCCTGGAGGGTCTCTGAAACTCTCCTGTGCAGCCTGTGGATTCACCTTCAGTAGCTACTACATAAAGTGACCCACCAGGCTCCAGCCAATGGGCTGCAGTCGGCCTCGAGTATTAAGTATAATGGTTATAGCATACGGTACTCACATGCTATGAGGAGCTGATTCATCGTCTCCAGAGACAATGCCAAGAACACACTATATCTGCAAATGAACAGCCTGAGAACCGAGGACACAGCCATGTATGACTGCGCAAAAGACACAGTGAGGGAAAGTCAGTGTGAGCCCAAACAAAAACCTCCCTGCCGTAGGGGCTGGGCTACATGGGGCGCTCAGGGCACCAGGGGGCACTCTTGACCAACAGAGGGCACTCAGGACCAACAGGGGGCGCTCAGGACCAACAGGGGCACTCAGGACAACCAGGGTGCACTCAGGACCAACAGGGGACACTCAGGACACCAGGGGGCGCTCAGGAC